GGAAACTATTTCCTATTGCAGTGTCAGTCCGTCGTGTGTTCTGAAACTGGGTTTGAAAATCCTTCCCGATCCAGGCGTGAACCCCAGAAGATGTGAAGGAAAACATTGGTAGATCTGAATTCATAAAAGGTAAAAAGGTTTGTGTGACAAAAGCATTGCAAAAAAATTAAATAACAGACAACAGACTGGAAGAACAAAAACACTGCAATCTAGGACACATGTTTTAACATTATATTGTAATGAGGAGGAATAGTCATGATAGATGAAGAGCGCCTATAAATTAGTAAGAGGAAGGGAAATCCAATGAACAAAAGGTATACACAGGTAATTTCAGAAGAAATAGGAACGTGGAATGCTCATTGCCAGCAGTCATGAAGGGAATAGGAACGAAAACAAGGTGCCAGTTTGTTTGCCCATGAAATTGGCACAAAGTAAAAAGATTTACAGTATTTAATATTGGCAAAGCTAAAGGGAAATTGGCAGTTTCTCTACTGAGGGTGGGAATATAAACTGCTGTCGTCTTTTAAAGGATAGTTTGGCAGTATCTGTCACCATGGAAAGTATGCTACCCCTTCCTTACAACAATCTACTTTTATTTATTTTTATTTTAAAAAATATATTTTATGGATTTTAGAGAGGAAGGGAGAGGAGAGAGAGATAGAAACATCAATGATGAGAATCATTGATTGGCTGCCTCCTGTACGCCCCCTACTGAGGATCGAGCCCACAACCCGGGTATGTGCCCTTGGCCGGAAGTGAACCTGGGACCCCTCAGTCCACAGGCTGACGCTCTATCCATTGAGCCAAACCAGCTAGGGCTCATTTTTTTTAAATTATCTTTATTGATTTCAAAGAGGAAGGTAGAAGGATACAGAGATAGAAATATCAATGATGAGAGAGAATCATTAATTGATTCCCTGCATGCCCACACTGGGGATTGAATTTGCAACCCAGGCATGTGTCCTGACTGGGAATCAAACCCTGACCTTCTGGTTCATAGGTCGATACTCAACTACTGAGCCAGGCCAGCTGGGCACAATAATTTCACTTTTAGGAGCCAATACTATTTACATATGTCCACCCGAAGGCAAAAATACAAGGATGCCAACTGCAGCAATGCTTGTGACAGTAAGAAAATATTAATAATATATTAGTAATAACTAATATTGAGGGCCAGTAGTCTCCTAAGCAATTTAAAACAAACATTACAAGGAATCGGAAACACACAGAGCTAGCGTTTGGTGGTGGCAGGGTTTTAACCCAGACTCTTTGCCTCCAGAGTCTGGTTCTTAACGACTACGCTCTTTAACAGAGAGCGAAGAAGCGTATGCTACACCTGCACCACGCCATATCCACACAGAAGTTAAAAGGAATGAAAAGAACAAGGCAGCCGGGACCGGTTTGGCTCAATGGATAGAGCGTCGGCTTGAGACTGAAGGGTCCCGGGTTCGATTCCGGTCAAGGGCATGTACCTTGGTTGCGGGCATATCCCCAGTAGGGGGTGTGCAAGAGGCAGCTGATCAATGACTCTCTCTCATCGATGTTTCTAACTCTCTATCTCTCTCCCTTCCTCTCTGTATAAAATCAATAAAATATATTAAAAAAAAAAAAAAGAAAGAAAAGAACAAGGCAGATTTCTGTGCTCAGACACAAAGGCACCTCCAAGACATTATTAATTAAGGGGAAACATCAAGTTGCAAAACACTATGATATGGTATAATGCCATCCACGCAGGAAAGAGATATATATGGGTGTACACAAATACATGTTTGGGAATGATAGAGGGCTTAGAGATAAGAGAACATATTGTATGTGTGGAGAGATGAGGGAGAGCACTTTTTAAGGTATATTCTACCTATTGCTGGTTTGAACTTTTACAAGAATGCATTTGCGATTACTTTGGTAAAACAAGAACTGTTTTACTGACCAAGAACGAAATGAAATAAAACGTTTAACTCCTATCAAGAGATTAGTTTGTGTTTTTTTCTTCCATGTGGACAATGGTGAGGTCTTGGATTTAAAAAGCCTTCCGCATGATGGCTCTTTCTAACCTAATGTAAGTGACCCGTAGAAGGTGCCCATTAGCTGGCTCTTGCTGATCACCCTTTTCCCCTTTTTTCATAGAGTTCTCATGTCCAGCATTTGGGTTCGTGGCTTCCTGTTAGGCCACCAGGTTCCGTAAACATGCCCAGGCCGTCCCTGAAAACATCAGCTGGGAACCTGAGAACCACACGGTGTCCCTTCTGCTTCGCATGTTATGTTGTCTTTAGGAAAAGGGATCTGTGATCATGGATTATCTCATTATTTTGCCTCGGTGCCTGAGCAGGATGTAAGCTCACTCTCCTTTTGGTGTGGTCTGCGGAGGTATGAATGAGTCACTTGCCATAAAGACCTAAACGATGCACTTTTTTTTTCCTTTCTTTTTTCTTTTTTTTTTTTATTCCTCACCCGAGGATATTTTTCCATTGAGTTTTAGAGAGAGAGGAAGGGAGGAGGGAGGGAGGGGAGAGAGAGAGAGGTAGAGAGGGAGAGTGCAGAGAGAGTGAAATATCCAAACATCCATGTGAGAGAGTCACTTCGATTGGTTGCCTCCCACACGCACCCTGACTGGATTGAATCTGCAACCCAGGTGCGGGCCCTTGACTGGAACTGAACCCATGACTCTTCGGTGCATGGGCTGACGGACACGCTAACCACTGAGCAAAACAGGCCAGGGCAGGAAAAAACAGCTGTGCGTATTGGATCCTGCCCAGGGCCTCCTCCTGCCCAAGTTCAATAAGGGTGGCTTTAACACAAAACAAATAGGAGGCTCCTGGAATACGCACTGATTAAGACGTAACTTTGACAAGGTCCGGGTTTAGAACCCAGTTGCCAAATGCGGTCTTATCTCTGGCATGCCATTGAGCAAGCTCCTTAAGATTCATTACTGCGTGGGCATCAGATTGTAGCTTTTTTTTGGAGTGGCCCATCGAACTTCATACAGTTTTTCAATGATTGAAGTTTTAATGTTCTCTTGAGCATCTTTACAGGAAAAAAAGTACCCCACTTAAAACAACAACTGTATTCCCCGTCTGTTCTTACAGCTGCTCATTTTACACAGTTTTAAATAGTGCGTACATTTCATATTTGTTGTTTTATTGAATCTCATTTCCGGCACATCTTTCCGGCTGCTTGCCAGAGGTCCATGTGCTTGCCATGCCTCCTGCACCCGTGCCAGGACCCTTTGTGCCCGTGTGGCGGAGCTGGCCCGGATTCTCCCCCAAGTGGCTGGACCACCGGGTCCATCCCCAGGGCATGGCCACTCTGAACACTCCGAGTAGCCCAGCTACAAACATCTTTGTACAGTTCCCCTCCTCCCCCCTCTGGATCGTTTCCTTAGACATGTACTTCCTTAAATGGGTTTACTGGGTCAAAAGGGCTCGATGAACAGTTTTATAGCTCTTGGCACATAGTTTTCGGATTGCGCCCTGGGTGGATCTGGCCAATGGCACGGGCCAGGAATGTGGGGGAGCGGCCCCTCTAACCGCCCCCTCTTCCTCCCCTAACCCCACCCCCCCCCCAAAAAAAAAAAAAAAAAAAAACCACCACCAAGGACCTTGCGAAGGCCTTGCGGAGGGAAAGCATTTTTCTGTGGCCTGTTGTCTGGCGATTAGGGTGTCGGGCCAGGCGGGAGAGGGATTCCAGGACCGGTGCCCCAGGGCCCCAGGAACCCGGCCAGGCGCTCCCGCCCCGGGACCTGGATTCCACTCGCCCGCCCTCGTCCAGTTTCCGACTCCCACTGCCCGGCCTCCCGCGCTCCGGGGCGCCCTTCCCGGCCCGGGCAGGCCCCTCGCGAGCGCGGCGCGCGGCGGGCGAGGGCGAGGGCAGCGGCCGGCGGGCGCTCCGGTCTCGGCGCGGGTGATGCGAGCCCCGCATAGCTGCGCGCTGAGTCAGCGGCCGGCGGGCGGGGGCGCGGCCCGAACCCCCCGCCCCGCCCCGGGAGCCGCGGCCCCGGCCCCAACCCCCCGCCCGCCCCGGCCCCAACCCCCCGCCCCGGGAGCCGCGGCCCCGACCCCCCGGGGGGCTCGGGGCCGCTGGGGGGGGGGGGCGCGGGCCGGCCTCTGAGCCCGCGGGCGCCCGCCGGGCCGGGTCTGGCGGGAGCGGAGGGAGCGGCCGCCGATCCAAATCCGGGCGCGCCCCCCTCCCGCCCCTTCCCCTCCCCTCCCCTCCCGGCGGGTCCAGGCGGGCGGTGACCCCCCCTGAGGCCGGCCACCCTCAGAGGACGCAAACCAGGGGCGGGAGGCCCTGGGGAGGAAGGGCGGCTCGGAATGGAGACGCTCCGCGGGGCAGCCCGAGGACACGGAGGAAGGGAGGAAGGGGCGAGAGGCGGCGGCGGCCGCGGGCGGGGGCGAGGCCCGCGCGCACGCGCAGGGCGGGGCAGGACGGGGCGCGCGCACGCGCGGGGCGGGGCGGGGCCAGCGGGCGCACGCGCGGGGCGGGGCGGGGCCGGGGGCGCGCGCCGGCGGCCGGGGCCGAGGGGCTTGTGGGTAGCGGCTGCGCGCGGCCGGGAGACGGGCGCCGCGCGGGAGCGGGAGCGGGAGCGGGAGCGGGCGGCGCGCTGGTGGGACGCAGGCGGCCGCGGTCATGGGCGCGGGCCGGCGGCGGCCGTAGCGGCGGGACCTGGGCTGCAGCCTCCGGGAGCCGCAGAGGGCGGGGCGCCCGGGCTTCCCCGCTGCCGCTCGCGGAGCCTGAGGAGCGAGCTCGCGGCGGACGAGCGAGCGGACCGGGCGGCGCGGATCCGGCTGAGGGGCGGGGACGCCGCCGCCCGCTCCCCGCGGCCGGGCCGGGCCGGGCCCCGGGACAGCCGCGGGCCCCGGACCCCGGACCGGCGCTCAGACCCGCGGCCGGGCCAGAGGCGGCGGCGGCCGGCGGAGCCCCGCCCGGAGCCGCGGGTCGGGGGCGGCGCTAGGCCCTGAGGCGGCCGGCCGGGCCGGAGCGCGGGCGGCGGCGGCGGCGGCGGCATGAGCCGGCCCCCGGCGGCGGGGAGAATGCCCGGCGCCCCCGAGGACGTGCCGGGGGACGGGGCGGCCGCGAGCCGCCAGAGGAAGCTGGAGGCGCTCATCCGGGACCCGCGCTCGCCCATCAACGTGGAGAGCTTGCTGGTAGGTGGCGGGCCCTCCCCGCGGCGGCTCGGACCCCCGACCTCCCCGCCGTCCCCCTCAGGGTGCCCACCCGTCCCCGGGGGGAGGTCTCGCCCCGCCCTGCCCCGCTTCCGGCGGCCGGGCCCGGCCGGGTTCCGGGAGGGGCGCCCCCCGGGGAGCCCGGCCCGAACCCCGGAGCTGGTGTCAGACCCGGGAGGAAGCAGCCCTGTTCTCCCTCCTCCCCCGTCCCGGCGTGGGGAGGCGGGGAAGGGGTCCCTCCTGCACCCCAGCCCGCACCCCAGCCCGCCGGCCCGTTTGCAAGGGGTCACGCGGCGTGGGACGTGGGTGCCGGCGGGGAGAAAGCCGAGGCGCCCCTCGCACCCCCGTTGGGAGCACCCACCCAGCCACCCGGGTGCACGACAAAGAGCTGCCCTCGCTCCCCCGCCGACCTGCAGTTGGGAAAGTGCCTGTTCGCAGCTGCCCTCCCACACCCAGAGCTGCGATTCCGTGCACGTTGATGTCTACGAATTAGATTTCCCGGGGCGATCGCGCCCGAACCCGAGTCCATCTGGGCTTCCGAGCGGAGCGAGTCTCTCCCCGTGGCCCCCCCACGGCGGCCCCGGGGAGGGAGGGCGTTCCCGGTGGAAACGGCGTTGGAAAGCTCGCCGTCTCTCCCTCTGCTAGGACGGGCGGCTGTGGCTCCCGGCGATACATCTGTGGGGACCGGGTGTTGTTCCCGGGAGGAGGAGAGAGCGGGGAAGATGCCTCCTGCGGCATGGACTCGGGGGGACCTGAATGGTGGGGTGGGGTGGGGGGGTGGATCCTTAGATTTTTGGTAAATTGTTAGAGAGCCTCGCCCGGCTGGCAGAAGCCCATGACTATACGCTGAGGAAAAGGGCGTCCCTCCCTTCCCAGGGACTGCCCTTTCTTCAGAAGCAGTTGCTTATTCTTTGAGGTTTCTGGGATGGTTTGCAGAGTGACTCAGTGCTGTTGGCCAAAGTGCAGGAACGGGCCGGAGGCGCACGGCCGGGTGCCGCTGCGGCTGTCAGGGCGCGGACTCCCCTGCCGGCTTCTCCCGGAGGGAGCCGCTGTTGTGTGTGTGCTGCCTGGGGTCGTGACACCCTGCACAGCCCGTAGGCGTCTTCCGTTGGGGGTGGGATTGGCCCGAGCGGAGGCTCTGGGCTTCACTCCCAGCATTTTCACTGCGGTATTTTGCTAGCAAAACTTTGACCTAAGGCCAGAAAGTTCAGTTAAAAATAGTACAGCAAATCTCAAGTATTCATCAGGTTCAATCCCGGATAGAAATTTTTTACACTTCATTTTTTGGGGGTCTTTAACTGATGCTGATAATTATTAGGATTCTTCTGAGCCTAAGCTATTTGTACATATAATATACATTCTCTTTTATTAAAGTGTTTTCTAAATGATCAAAACTAAGGTTGCTTTAAATGAAACACTACACATGCTCAAGAAACAGTTTGGTCCATTCATTTGATGGCCAGTAATCAACATACACAGCCAACACACTGCACACTTTGGTTAAGGTGACATAGTACTGGCATGAGAGTTGACATCAGACTTTGTCATTGCTGTTTTTAGTTGTTTACAGGGTGGGGCAAAAGCAGGCTGACAGTTGTATGGGAAATAATACTATAATTAATAAATAATAATACAAGAATAAGCTGTTTTATGTACTCATAATGTAAACCTTTTTATATGCCCCGCCCTGTATGATTTCCTCACATAGAGATAGCCATTGTTTAAGCTAACATTTTGCTATAAATTTGTGTCTAAAAAAATTAAAATGTAAAGAAGGTAAAATTACACTACATGTGCTTTGTCACTTTTTAAATACTTAATAAATAATAGAAACTTTCATGTAGTCAAATTTATCAGTCTTCTCATCATAGAGTGATTTCTGACTTAGATGTCATGCTTAGGACATTCTCCATGACCAAGATTAGTACTATAATGGTTTGTTTGTTTAATGTGTTTTTATTGATTTTAGAGAGTTAGGAAGCGGGAGGGTAGGAGGTACTGCCCCTGGATGGGAATAGAATCTATGACCTTTCAGTGCACCGGAAACACTTTGGAGCTATGCTCCAACCAGCACTGGCCAGGGCTGGTGGGAAGTATGAAGTAGGGGTACAGAAATTTTATCAGAAGATTTGACTAAGTATTAGCATTCCCAAAATACCAATTAGGAACCTCTGTTTATAATTGTGTTCTTGTCATAAAAATTCCTATTTGGAGAGTGGAGTTGGGGGTGGGGAAAGAAAGAGTAATGACTATGGGTTTGGTCTCCGTTGGCCTCTCTGAGTTTCTTCAGGAAATACTACTCTACAGCTATATTTAAAATCCTATTCTGTGCTGACATTAAAAAACATATATGAGCTGTTAGTGATAAGGGTTACTGGTGAAGAGAATGTAAATAACTCAGAGCCATTTTATTATAGCTTTTGGGGAAAAACACAAAGTGACAGTTCCCTTCGGTAGGTTAGCTTATATGAAGCTTAATATTTAAATTGATGTGAAATCATGTTGGCATTTGGGAATCTACTAAAACTTCTTATTTTATCCTTTTTGGAGTCATTCTCTTGTCCTTTCATCTGTACTCTCGCTCCTCTCTCTAAAGTCTGATTAAGTTATAGAGATGTATTTGTGAATCCTGCAGTTGATTGTCCCAAATGACCCTCACTTATTTTGGGGAAAGCATTTGGGTCACAATGGTTAGCATTTATCTTCACAGGTGTGTTTGTGTGACAAAATGGAAATATTGTTATTGGCTCATCGTTGATAATCTTTTGGGGAAGGTTTCTAAGTCCAAGAGTGTTACTTGGTTTGTTGGTTCATTTTGGTAAGATATGGGTTGTTGAGGTATCTAAGAGCTTTACAGTTGTTTCTTATAGTTAATTGATCACTTAGTATTCAATGACTAATTTCCTTTATTATTTTAAAGAGATTAGAGACTCGGAACTAATTTCTAACAATTCATTATTGGCCATGGAAATGAATAGCAGAGCCTCCTCACGAATGCTTTATGTAGATGGAAACAGGAAGCAGGGCTGGCTTCATCTTAATGAGCTGGTGATTGTGATGAGGAATGCTTAACATACTAAGTGTTGTCTTTTTATGTACATACTTCTTGTTTGTTTGTTTTTAGTTCATTTAATGGATTGAATACGAGCTCTTTTAGGAGATGGATCTTTTTTGTCTTCCTGTTGTTCTAAATATTTGTTGAATGAACTAACAATTCTTTTTTAAGTAACAGGAATTACCTGTAGAAATATATCCCTACTTGAAGAGATATTAAGATACTTTCCAAATAAACATTTTGATCTATGTTCATTTATTTCTTACCTATAGGAAGACAGATAAGTAACATCTGTATATGCAGAGAGGGTAGGTTTGGGTGGTAGATTTAATTGGAAGTCAAGCAGGAAAAGCAAATTGTGATTTGGATATTTTCTGGATTGTGCTGAAACAGTTTGTCTTGGAAAGGATGTAAGCTAATTTTATTTAGTGTTTTAGGTGGACTGTATAGCCTTTATTGTTTATAATGTGTCATCTGTTTCCTCCTCCCCTAACTTTTCTTCTGATTAAACATACCCAGTTCTTTATATGATGTCTGTGTTGAAACTGTACTTCATGAATAAGAGCAGATGAAATGTTAGTGATGTATTCACAGGATGAAATTCTTTAAAGTGGCATAGTAGCTGTTATTAATAATAACACAATATTTCAAAATAAAACCAACCCCAAAGGACATGAGAGATTTTGATCAGAAGTCAAGAGTATTATTATAAGTCAATATGAATGAACGGTTTTGAAAATGTATCATATTACCAAGCATTGTAGTTTGTTTTGTTTTAACACTCACCTGAGGATTTTATTGATTTTAGAGAGAGAGGAGGGGAGAGGGGGGGAGAGGGGAAAAGAAGAAGGGAGGGAAGGGAGTTAGCGAGAGGGAGAGGGAGTGAGAAATATCTGTGAGAGAGACCATCGATGTAAGAGAAACATCCATTGACCAGGGCACTAGTAGTCTTATTTATTTAAAATGCAGTGCTGGCAAAAGTAGATTTTTATGAGTCATCTGAGCAGTAAAGGAAATTTTAGGACATAATTCCTTTAAAATTTAAGATGCCTAAATGTATTTAAAGACAACTAAAAACATTTTTGGTTGTAGTGATATTTATTTTTCTAAAACGGAAATGCACTAGAACAGTTGTCATGAACTTTGAGGCCTGCAAGATCTAGTGAAATGTGTTTTTGTATTAAATGTCTAAATATTAGTATGATTTTGAAAAACGTTTCACTACTTTATTATAAAGTTTCATTTGTGGCACTTTTGACTTTTATTTTTTATTTTATTTTATTTTTTAAAATATATTTTATTGATTTTTTTACAGAGAGGAAGAGAGAGGGATAGAGAGTTAAAAACATCTATGAGAGAGACATCTATCAGCTGCCTCCTGCACACCCCCCACTGGGGATGTGCCTGCAACCAAGGTACATGCCCTTGACCGGAATCGAACCTGGGACCTTTCAGTCCGCAGGCCGACGCTCTATCCACTGAGCCAAACCGGTTTCGGCACTTTGGACTTTTATACAATTGAAAATATATAGCCATATTTTATTGTGTTATTTTATTGTGAATTAAATTCAGGTTGAAGGTGAATGGTTAAAAATGACTAGTTTGCTTTTGTTGAAAGAATCAAGATTTAAAATTTTTTTTCTTTGTGTGAACCATTAGATTTTATCAAGTGCTAACAGGTCATACAATCAGCATCTATGGGAATTAGTACAGATTAGAGGAACAATATGTTAAGATAATGTTTTTCTTTCAAGGAAATGAGATTCCTAGTCAGAAACTGGGAAAAGAGAGAATGCAAAATACAAAGTTAGTGTTAATAACAATATTGCAAATTTAGAAACATTTGTTTGAATATTCAGAGTTGCTTTTAAATATCTAAAACAGGGACTTTGAATTTTTGAATTTTGGTTGCTTAAAATATTTCTTA